CTTCTTCCAGCTCGATTTCTGAATTTAAAAGGATACTTATTCTCCACTATAACTTTCTTCAGAAGTCATGCAATTAGCACTTTAATAAAATCATGAAAATTCTCTTTTATACAAAGCTCTGTTGTCGTAAATACTACCATTCCACTATACCAAGCTAACAGTTTTCTATTTATCCAACCCCTCTTCTACGTACACCATGTTGTCAAATTGAGGACAACTTCACTTTATTCAACTTCATATCCTTTGTGTACCCCTGTCTATCACGTAGGCATTAACGCATCTCTAATCCATCCATATCGACAGTACCACCATCTTCTACTTCACTCACTACACTCCATTTGTACCATTCATTTCTTTGATGTGTTCACTGCAATGAGTGGAAAGTGTTGTTTCTGGTGAAGCCTACGGGAATACAGACAAAAGGCAGTGATTGGTATCACACTCAGCTTAATTTCTAATGTAATTTGATTTCCTGAAGGAAATCTAATGTTAGCGAATGAATTTTATCAACAACCAGTCGTAAATCTCACATTGAAATATGGCAAGTATTGATATCAAGACTGAAATCCAACAATTTATCACTAAGAAGTCTTTCTGGGATTCGAGTCAACCTCCGTCACACCCCTTCTCAACCTGATTCATCGAATACTCGTTCTAACTTGCACACAAGTAACTATAATTACTTAATTAAGACAACAACGTACCCATGCTAATTAACTGCTGATATTTGGGTGGTAGAGGTGGCGGTGTAGGAGTCCGGTATGGTCTGGTTGTCTTTCCTTGGAGAATGTTGTCAATTTCTCTGAATGAGGGTCTTTCTTTAGGTTCCAACTTCCAACAATTCTCCATAAGGGCTGCCATTCTCTGAGGCACGCCAACTGGGGCATCCAGTCGTTTGCCATTTTGAAGGAGAGTACCCAATTTTGAACAGTTGACATCACTATAGGGCAAGCCACCAAAACTGTAAATCTCCCACACCACGACACCAAAAGACCAAACATCTGCCTTATTGGTAAACGTATTTTCATTTGCCAACACCTCTGGAGCCATCCATCTCACAGCTATCACCCCAGAGCTGTATTTGGATTCAAATGGTCGGCTCAAACCGAAATCACCAATCTAGTAAGCAAATTGTTCAAATTCAACCAAAATCAATTATTACAAAATTAACCAAAAATATGATAATTAAGAAAAACTTAAAATCTTAGAGTATGAGTAAGTTGAAAATGCTATCCAATTTTCTAAACCCGGTGGTACATTAATTTCATACTTTAGAAAAAGGATACTTTAAAGTATTGCATTCTTTTGTTATTAAAAGTGTATATTTTAATTTCCTTCAATTTTCCTTCTCCCTAATCATAAATATTTACCTTGATATTGTCGTATTCATCTAGGAGAATATTCCTAGTTGCAAGATCACGGTGAAGAAGTGCGTTTTCTTCCAGAACTTTCATTCCTGAAGCAATTTGTGAGACGTATCGGACCAAGTTGAGTTGCTCTGTGTGCTTCTTCTCTTCATTATTTAGAAATAACCTCCTAAGACGTTCGTTGAGGCATCCGTTGGGCATGTACTCGGACACAATGTTGAGATGCCCTGAATCCATGTACCAACCAATAAAACTGAGAAGGTGTACGTTTTTCTCGCACTGGGAAAGGGTGGCCATAACTGCAAGTTCCATTCCTCCAGTTAAAGCAAATTCGGATGTTTGCTTTACTCGTTTTATTGCTACTTTTCGATTTGAGCCTTCCTATTAGCAAACAAATAGGCATATAGCAACATCATAAACTTAGGTATTCTATTATTCTTATGGTAACATCAAGCACCCACATTTTCGAAATACATTGCTCACCATTTGGATTACAATACAATTTCTTCGCCACAATGACTAATGCCTAGTGAACTGTTTTCGACTCATTATGGTTAATGTTTCTATGCCAATTCATTTTCAAACAAATGTCG